AAAAAAAAAAACCCCCCCCATAAAAGGCGAAATCAGTGGTGGATTGGAACGGAAACAAGATTTGAGATACCCTTTACAGCGTCTTCTTTATTCGATTAACATATTTTCTTTTTCTTCTTTTTCTTTTGTTTAATTTCCCTTTCCCGTCGTCGTCTCAGTTTTATGATTTACGATGATTCGGTGATTTTTATCTTGGGCTACGATTGTTATAGAACTCGTGTATGTATGTGCCTACAGATAGTACATACTTGCTTTCTCATGAAATACATAGCAGATAGACATACTCTTCTTCTACATGCTTCACAGGACTCAACCGCAGTTCAATAGGGTATCTATAATATCATTACTCATATCGCTATAGTATACTATCGAACAAAACCCCAGCCAACCATCGTCTTCCCAAAATCTCACACCACCCATCTCTATTTGTCCGAGGAGGAAGAAACATGCCCAGAAAGCCCAGAAAATTGTGAAAGAATCCATCCACCACCCCATGTTCCAAACAATTATTTCCCACCCTTATTCCCATTCTCTTTCTTCTTATCCTTCTTCCCCCCAGCAAGCAACTCCAAATGTCCCGCCTTCTGCGCAAGATTCCGCTCCGTCTTCGAGACCAACCCAGCCGTAAGTTTCTAATAAAGAAAAAGAAAAAGAAAGACCCTGTCAGCAAATCTTGCCCTCATACACCCCCATCATCCAAACAAATAACACACAGAAAAGAAAGAAGAAAAGAGAAAGAAAAAGAAAACAAACCTTAGTCATCTTCTGCTGCTTAATCAACGATTGCTTCTTAGGAGCAATCTGTCTCGGACCTGGCTTTGGGCCTAGAGCACGGGGTCTATATTTCAACCAAAAAGGAAACCAAATCAGCCTCTGCGCAATAATATATAGATCACCCCAAACCCGTCCCAGATTGCCTCCTGCTGCAAGGTTAAAGATTGTAGTGTAGAATATAAGCGTACCGTTTCGGGCCCGTTCCGGCCTTCTTTTTCAGGGAGCCTTGCACCATTGTCTTTTCTTTTTTATTTTTGATGAGGATTATGGTCCGTATTGTAAAAAATGTACTGCCTGCAGCACTTGGGGGAGTGGTTTTGGTTTGGGGTTGTTTTTGTGATTTTTTTTTTTTAGGCTTGGAGATGATGGGGTTTGGAAAATCCTTATCGGGACTTTATCTGTCACGTGAGTGGGTTTACATTTCTTTTTAGGTTTG